GATCTAACACTGAAATAATGTTTAAATGTTCTCCTGTTGTTTTTCCACCCCCATACTTATCCTGAATACTGTTGGCCCCAGGCGAGGACCTCTCAAGTTCTGCAGGTGTTAACTAGGAGGCTCTGAGATGTTGACCGAGGGACCTCTCTGAAGCCGGCCTGCCGCCTCAGGGTTGCGCCTCCCGTGTGGCGTTCAGCCTGCTAAATTGGCTTGCAAGGGTGCAGAGAGCTCAGCCTCCTCCAGATGAGAGTCTGCTGAAGGCGCTGCTGCTGGGAATAAGTAACGGAGAGGCCCTGAGACAAAGAGCAGGTATCAGTCACAAACATTGGCTACAATATCTGGGTTTCCAGCTGACTGCTGATTGACTGATCAGTTAGTTGATTACACACTCACCCTGGATGTGTTATCTGTTGCAGCTTTGCAGATTCAGAATGAATACTGTAAACAGAAGCTGGATGTGAGGGTGGTCCACGCCTTCAACCAGTGGCAGTCCTGCCTCAAGGACAGCATCCACCTGAACCAGCTGCTGGGCTTCCCGTTACCTGAACCACAGATCGCACGGTGAGTGAAAGACTGCTGGAGCTACATTTAACTAGATTTGTTACTGAAGAGGATTTATTGGCAGCAACAGAATATAATATTAATAACTGTGTTTTCTAGCTGATGTTAAATCCCCATCTCATCCTTGATGTTGTCCAGGTTGTATGAGGGGACGGTGGTCCACCATCTGGTCTACTGGATGAGGACTGGTGGAAAACTGAAGCACTTTTTGAAGAGTGATTGCTCAAGTGTGAAACAGTACCAGGCCATGCTGGCCGTCGTGCACCAGCTTCCCACTCAGGAGGTGTCGACGCCGTCAGAGATCCAGAAGACAGCGACGGCTTTACAGCGGCAGCCTCTGAACGACCTGACCGCAAACCTGCAGCAGCTGTACGGAGACGAGGACGAGGAGGCTGCGACTGAAGTCAGAAGTGCAGTCAAAGCACTGGAGGATATACATCTGGATGATTTAGTGTCGGTGAGAACTCGGTACAAAGCTAAAGAGAGGAACAATCGGTGCAAAAACCTCTGATCTCAGCCTAATAATAATATGTAATTCCTCAGGATTTCATTAGACACATGAATGAATCCCTTTAAAGCTGCAATAATACAATTTTGGCCTCTTAGGGCAGTAAAACAAGCTGTACACAACATCTGACATATTATCTCCTTATACAGTTTTTAGCTGTTTGCTAACACATTTTATAAACTTCTGATAAATATAAGTCCAATATTCACTATTTTAGGACCTGCAGCTCTTTAGCTGCTAAATGCTCCACCGCGTTTGTGTCGTCACTCCAGAACAAAGACCAAGTGTGTAGTGGTTTCTCTTTCTCTGAGTTTTTCTTTTTTTAATAGTAGTCATATTAAGAAGAGAGTTGAAATGTTGTGTATTTCTGTTTCTATGGGTTTGTAAGCATTTTAAGTTGATCTATCGTGGATTATGTTTTATTTAAGGTATTTTCAGGTTGTCTTAAAAAGTCTATATATATTTATGAATATATATTTACATATCTCTTTTTGAATGCACATGTAATTAATCAAAACCAGTCCTCCTATATTGTACAAACTGAGTTTGCTCAGCAGTTGCTGAAATATTGTCCATTTAGGTAATTATGCTAATTCTTGCTAAAGCTAATGGCAAACATATGCACGTTTCTAAATGCTGGGAACCCATACTGTACATCTGTAACATAAAACCAAAACTCTGGGTTCACAATGGGGTGAACTTCTGTTTACAAATGTCTGATTTTTATAGCTGCACTTTTTCCATCTTTTGTAAAAATGTATAAATTCTTGAAATTTTTTAGAAAAGTTTTGTGAACAAATATAACAACATGAAGGAAAGTGTTTTTATTTTTAAATATGTATCCGTTTAATTGATTTGTGTAACATGACAATGGCTGAATTCATGTTGATTGAAGACTTTAGAGCTTAAATCAGGGTTTTATCCTTGAAAACCTTGTTCAATCTCATGTAGTCAAAGTTTTACAGAAACGTTTCGTGCTTCATTCTGTACAAAAACATCAGATGAATAAGTGAAATTCTGTTTTAAAATGTAGATTTCTTTCTATTTTGTTTATGGAGGAAAGTTTCAAGCTTTTGTAGATTGTTGAACTTTCTGAATGAATTTCTCTGTAACTGGTAAATGTTTTAAGTGGGAAGATACAAATCTCATAACATGAAGAACATTTGTAAAATTCTTATTTTTTTCCAATCTCAGATTTATTTCCTAAATGTATTTGCACTCAGGGAGGGAGGAGTCAAGGAATATAAAATAAGGAAATGTTAAAACTCTCTATAAATCTGCTATATGGTGTAAAATTATAGTTTTAATAAACTTTGATATAAACTTTTGAAACTGCCTCTGTGAGCGTGTGTGCAGTGCAAATAAAAACAAAGTCAGCTTCTTTAAAAGATTTATAAAATTTTAATATACATTTTATTGTCATCCACACACACACTCACTACTCACACACACACACACCAACGACGGAACCACACACACACACTCACTCACCATAAATAAAACAGAAGATAGAGACAGTGAGTCAGTGGTGCAACTGGTGTTCAGGTTCCTGTTTTACTCGTCTGGTTTTCGCTCTTCAGACGGTAAAAACAGCCGAGACGTCGAAGAAAGAAGCTTCAAAAACAGGAATTTCACAAAGTTCTGCCGTCTGTAATCGTTTATTAACAATAAGGTTTATTTGCTGCCCCACAGACTGTATTTCCACTTTATAAAAGACGTATGAAATGTCTGGAATATGTCGTCTGCTTCTGAAATGTGGAACTGGTTGTTTTTGTTCTGGCGCCTAAATGGCCTAAAGTATGTGGACACAACGTCTCTGTATTTTAAATCATTTTCAGTCTGGCTCTGCTTTCAGGGTTTTTGTTCCAATAAAAAAGGAAATTAAACTGTTTTAGACAATAACTGACAACTGTTCATTATGTTGAATTATGAATTAACTGAAATCGGGCTGCCGCTAACACTTATATTTTCTGGATTAATCAATTATTGTTTTATCTAAATTCAGCCAGAAAACTGTGAAAAATGCTAACTATAATTTCCCAGAGGACAAAAACAGTCAAACCCCCCCAAACATTTTCAGTTACAATAAAATAAAACTATTAAAAAGTTCAAGAGAAATGTAAATTGGACAATTTTGATTTTGAATTAATTCATCAACTGTAAAAACATTTACTGGCTGTTTGGTTTCATTGTTTTTTATTTCCAATTATTTAACTGAACTGTTAACATTTAGCTTCAAACATTAAATATTTTAAATTTTTATTTTAATTCATAGCAGATCAGATTTGCTGCTGTTTAGTTTTCTGTGGATCAACTTATAGATTTATTGACTCGTTTTCTGTCTCATTTGAACTCGACCCTGTTTGGACTTGCCCGGTTCTCTTCAGTTTCCAAGTGCGAAAGAGAAACTACGTTGGCTATCCTCCTAAATGTTACAAACTGGATCTTTAAGATGCTGGAACTGGGGTTGAAATAGTTTCTGATTAATGTTCTGTTGATCTCCTGATTATTTGATGACGTTGAGGCGTTTTGGGGCGGAGCAGCTTTGTGAGATTCTGTCCAACCGGCTCCTTCCAGCCAATCAGCCTCCAGAGAAACAGGACCTGCGACCAGTCACATTTGGCCCCGACACACAGCGGATACAGAAAGCACAGTTTATATAACAAGCGCATATGAATGTCGTTAAGACGTAAAAACGAACTTTCGCTTATTTTACAGTGTAAAATGTTCACAGAGAGAGAGAGATCACACAAAGAACATCTGGATGATCGCAGCTCAGACTGGAGATTTGATCACATCTGGCTGCAGGCGGTGGGAAAGAGACCTCAAAAACAAGTGAGAGAGAAGACGCTCGACAAAATGGAGGTTTTTTACAACCTGAGTTTTGAGCTTCTGAATCTCTAAAATCTGATCCGCAGCCAAAAAACTAGAAAAAACAAGTCCAGTGGAGCAGAAACCGGTGAAAGAACCAGAGCTAGTTTGGTGGAAAGGGGGGGTCCCCTCCTGGTCCACGATTTAGTGTTTTTGAACAATCCATCTGACCTCCGCCCACTATCTTACCATCACATTTTAGCTCCTAACTGATCACGGATTTATGAATGAATGTGACGATGTAGAAGGCTGATATGAAAGTGTTTTCATTCAAAATGTAGTATTTTATAGTGTTTTATGTTTCTGAGCTACTGGAGAGGAGACACGACAAGACAGACGTTTTTTACAACCTGAGTTTTGAGCTTCTGAATCGCTAAAATCGGATTTGGAGCCAAAAAACTAGAAAGAAGAATTCCAGTGGAGCAGAAACAAGAGCAGTCAGACCTTCAGAGATGGAAAAGAATCCTCCTGGTTCTCTTCCTAATAGTTCCTGTTTGCAGCCACGATTTACAGTGTTTTTGAGCCATTCAACTGACCTCCACCCACTATCTTACCATCACATTTTAGCTCCTAACTGATCAAAGACGTATGAATGAATGAATGTGACTACGTAGCAGGTTGATATGGAAGTATTTTCATTCAAAATGTTGTAGTATTTTATGTTTTTGAACCACTAGAGGCAGCTCGTGTCTGACCAGTAGTACCACAGTTTATGAACCAGTGCACTTGAGACATTTCTGTTTTGGTTTTGCCCTTCGGTAACGTGATTTAATCGTGCGGCTTTTGACACTTTCCAAACGTTATCGGACCGAATGGATCAAATTCTGATAGTGAAACGAGTCATTTTGTGGAGGTTGTGATGATCAGAAACATTTATCCGCCGTTTTATAGCCGCTTCTTTCACAATGTAACCTTATGGTAACCACTCTTTAAGAATTCATTTCCCAGGAGTTTTTATTGACAATACAGGACATAAAGGACCAATAATTCACCGGGATTGTATTGACTTATTTCTTAATGATGCAGGTTAAGGATGGAAAAGTTACAAAAATAAGACTCAGGTTGTAAAAACAGTAAATTTCTTTTAATAAGTTTTCTTGTGATTTGCTCATTCAGTAATAAAATCTCACCGATTCATCGTTAAAGCTTTTGTTACAGTTATAAAACCTGGAAAAAGGAAAACCTGTTGTTGTGTTTTCATCAGATAAATAATCTTTTATTTCTTATTATAAATGTCAAATATAATGAAAAGATTGGTCTTCGATATCAGCTGTGGAAACAACAGCGTGAAGGGATTTTCTTTTCTAATCTTGTTTTTATGTGCAAAATTAAAAATAAATCAAACTTTCATCAACAAGATAGCCAAATCAACTACATTTCCCAGAAAGCACCTTGTCTACACTGATTTAAAGGTGGAGGAGTGGAAGTAAATCCTGATTGAGAAGCTAATATTCAGCTTTTAAAAATCATTGAAGTGCTGAAACGGATTGAACAGAAAAGCCATTGGTCAGTAAAGGGCTTCTTTCCACCAACGTGGAGTTAATTAAAATGATCGATGACTTCTCTAAGGCACAGGATGAGAAAGCGTCGTTACTGAAGTGTGTTTGTACCCTGAAGCGGCAGCGTTGTGTTACCGTCGGTGGTTTTTGAGGCCTAATTCCACGTTTAGCATCAGGATGTTCTTATGTACAAGGTGGCGAGTGTGAAAGAGCTTAAATATGACAGAAAAGTGTCATCAGCTGTACGACTGAAACCATCTGAATTTAAATAAACCAGTGTGTGTAGAGGAAGTAGCATGAAACATAATATAAGGATCCCAGAAACAAGCCTGTATAGTGGAGGTGTAAGGGTACGTCTCTAAACTCTCACACCCGTACTTTGGTTCAGTCGGTCTGGAACAAAGAAAAAGGAAAGATTTGCTGATTTGTTTTAGTTCTGTTCTGATTTGTGTTTAATATCAGGCTACTCAGGTGAGCTAACTTTAGCATCGTTAGGTTTGGTGAAAAGAAAAAGCCGAGCAGGAAGAACCTCCGAGATCATTTACAAACTATACAAACAGAAAACTAGTGTCAACATCGTTTGACTCAAGTCAGATAAAGTTGTGTCTCTGGAAATACCCGAATCAAACGGCAGGTACCAGATTAAAGGTGTCACCTTCCTAAGCCCCGCCCCTTTTTGGGGACCTAGTTAGATATGCTACGTGCTAGGCTAGTTATGTTGAAAAGACAACCACATTTTGAGGAGGATTAAGAGATAAAAGCGACATATATATATTAGCAGAATGATAGCTAATTAGCCAGCTAATCTACATCAATCATTACATTCGTCAGTTAGCTGATAAACTTCTCTTTTTTTAATGTGATTGTCTTTTCTACACGGACGAGTTAGCTTATAACATATCTCAAAAAGTGTTTCTATATCGACAAAAGTATTAAATAATTTCACGTCTAACAACATGTGACCAGACACAGTCATCATGTATGGAAGTCTATGGCTGCAAACGTAAAAATTAAATCACTTAATCAAACTAGATAACAACAACTCAAGTTTTTCACTCGTGTGACAAAATTCAAACAAAATGAAATTATTTTTCAGTCTACTCTTAAAACATAATATTGGCTAAATGTAAACATCAGCAGACGATGAACTTTTGAAATTAAAGAATGAATTACATCCTGATTTTAGCCTTAATGAGGTAAATTTATAATATCAATGTTCTTTTAAATAAAACTAATTAATTATTAATGATAAAGAGATTATTTTCTGAAATTGATTTGATTAAATTTTTTTTTTTTTATACTTTGATATTGGCAGCCACAGACCTCCGTACAGGATTAAAGCTTCATATGCTCTAACGTTACTTTATGTGCACACAGTTATTACAACTATTATACTGCCTCAGTTTTAATTTAAATAATTGATTATGTAAACGTTTAATTTTTACAGCATAAATTAAGACCTGTAAGTATGGAGGACTAAAGCTGCCATTATAATAAATAGATAAATAAATAACGTAAATTAATTAAGAAATGAAATAATAAAGACAGAAATGTGGAAATAAAAGTCTCAATTATCAAATAAATTAGCAAGTTAATTAAAGATAAATAAATATGCACAGAAATAGATTTTTTAAAATTTATTTGACAAATTTATTTTTCTACTATTTATTTTCATATTTATCCAATTCTGTTTCCTATTTGTTTATTTATTTCTGTATATCTTCACACATACATAAATAACAAAAAGAATAAATTGGGAAATAATTAAATATGAAATTAAATAAATATAAAAATACCAAATTTGTCAAATAAATACATATATCTATTTATTTAATATTTCTGTGCATATTTATTTATCTTTAAATACCTGCATATTTATTTGATAATTTTTTATTTCTACAATTATGTCTTTATTATTTCATATATTCAAATAAGTAATTAAATATTTTATTATAATGGCA